TGAAATAAAATAACTACAATATGTAGTACGAAGAAGAAATTGCTTGTGATGCAGATTTCGGACACTTTATAGTATATAGTACTGTGAATGTATATCCCATACAGGTTGTATTTTTATTTATTAAATATTTTTATCTCTAAATCGGTTAAAGCAAAGCCGCTACCCGCTGTCGGTACGCTTAGATCTAAAAAACTTAAACTACGCAACTCAATAGACCGAATCATTCAAGAGAAAGGTTAATATGATTATATGTTAATATGTTTATTTTATTATAGGATCGCTAGTAATTAAAAATAGCACAATTTGAAAGGAGACCTTTTTCTCTAACTTGTTCTAATTAATATATTTTTACTGGCCAGCATGCCTAAACTTTGAAGTGATCAATATTTTTTAACACTACACCCGGAACGGCTTTTAGTAACAATCAACTTCCTTGTCAACGCAAGCAATAAACGCTTTGATGATACACATTATGTCCGCGTTACACTAGCGCAAATTATTCTGTTTTCCCGCTCCTCCGAATAACAATATTCTTCAATGCCTAACCTGTGGACAAAAGGAAATAGTGGACGTATTTGGTAGGAAGATGCATCACACTGGGCCCAGTCAACGTCGAAGAAGCTATCCAGGTGTGTTTGTCACACCTTATGTGTACATTGTACAACGTAATAGTTTACATGATGTGTAATTTTTCTCCAAATTTAACCTTACTAGCTTTATATCCTGCTGATTGGCGAACGAAGCATTGGCGACTGTTTACGCTCGAACGGTGCGAACGGTTGCCTATGCTTGACAAGACCCCACATTCACACCTCACTGTACACTACTCGCCATCCACTATTACACACACTCACGGCCTGCCCAAGCCTTGGTGCGACGTTAGCTTCGGATAATGGTAAGTACTATGTGTTTCAACTAGAAACACATAGTACTTACCATAGTATTCCTAATTACAATAAACAATATAGGAGGAAGCTTCCTCCCATATTGTTTATTGTAATTAGGAAATTCCACGCGGCCATATTGAGGCCCGACCTACGTCTGTTCGTTGAAACTCCGCTGATGGGCCCCGGAGGATTTGAACTTTAGAGGAGCAGCCGTTGGCCGTAACAGCGACCGTAGGAATCCCGTAAGATAAAAAAAAATTAGGATCCTATACCTCAAAAGGTTAAAACTAAGTTCTTCTAGGATTATTAGGCAACGGTGATAGAGCCACGCAGCAGTTTTTGCTGTTGCACGTATGGGCCGGCTCGAGCCGGGTTGGTAGCACGACCTCACAGAATACCGGCGTGAAGTAGAGGCTCTATTTTTGCGTTTCGTCTGGTGAGTGCAGGTGGCCGGAGGCCCAATTCCCCCCCACCCCATCAACATGATAGCGGAATTACACGATAGACTACCCCAGGAGGGTACCAGTAACCCTGGAGAATCCCTCGCTGAGCATCCACGACCATGTTATTCCAATCCTGAGCGTGGGTGCTCAGGCTGCCCCGCGTATTCTGGGGGGGGCAAAATTCCGCTCAAAAGCATTACTGCTAGGGGCAAACTGAGCAAGAACACCAAGGCGACCCCTGCCACGCTATCCGTGAATTTCTGCAACATCAGGGGACTTCACTCTAACCTAAACGCCGTCCACTACCATCTCGAGACGGCGAAGCCGGCCTTGCTCTTTCTGACCGAGACGCAGGTTTCCTCTCCGGCTGATATTTCGTATCTCTCCAACCCGGGGTACAAATTGGAGCACTCCTTTGTGCCTCGGGCTGGAGTTTGCGTGTATGTCAGAGAGGACATCTGTTCTCGACGCCTCGGCAGTCTTGAAGGTTCGGACCTGTCCATCCTTTGGCTACGCGTAGACAGCGACGACCATCCGCGCGTCTACGGGTGCCTCTATAGGTCCCATAGCGATAATGCCAAAACAGACCGACTCATCGACCACGTTCAAATGGCTACAGAATCCTTGCTACAACAGGTCCCATCCGCAGAGATCGTGATCCTTGGCGATTTTAACGCCCACCATGCGGAATGGCTCGGTTCACGTTTAACCAATCATGCGGGGAGATCTGTTTATGATTTTGCTTTGGCATATGGTCTGACACAACTGGTTACTTCGCCTACGCGGATTCAAGATGTGGAGGATCATACACCTTCCCTGTTGGACCTTCTGCTGACCTCTCATCCGGACGGATATCAGGTTTCCGTCGATGCCCCTCTCGGCTCTTCGGACCATTGTCTGATCCGGAATTTGGTGCCACTCACGCTCCCTTCGCGGTTGCGTTCTGCAGGTTGCCGCCGTGTTTGGCATTACAGGTCGGCGAATTGGGACGGAATGCGGTCTTTCTTTGCATCCTACCCATGGGGGCGGGTTTGCTTCTCGCCGGATGATCCCAGCGCTGTTGCTGACTCTGTCACTGATGTGGTGCTACAGGGAATGGAACTATTTATTCCATCATCTGTGGTACCCATCGGAGGCAGATCTCAGCCTTGGTTTGGTCGCTCCTGTAAGACTGCATTACGCAGTAAGCAGGAGTGTTATCAAGCCTGGGCTGCGGCTTCGGCGACTCGGAATTTAAACACCAGCACACTTTAAAAGAAGTATAACTTCGCCTCCAGGTCCTTCAAAAAAGTTATTGCCAAGGCAAAGTCTGAGCACATAGGCAGAATTGGCGAGAAACTAGATCGCCTTCCTTCGGGAATTTCTGTAAGCCATCACTACCATCTCTGCACAGGGAGGACGACTCACTGGCCCAAGACGCAAAAGGCAAAGCTGACCTTTTAGGCTCACTTTTTGCGTCCAACTCGACTCTTGATGACGGGGGGAAAACACCGCCGACTATCCCGCGGTGCGAGTGCTCCATGCCGGATGTGCTGTTCTCACAGCGCTCGGTTCGCAAAGCACTTCCCTCCCTGGACATCCGGAAGTCGAGTAGGCCTGACGGAATCCCCCCAATTGTGCTGAGGACGTGTGCTCCGGAGTTGGCACCGGTCCTAGCGCGTCTTTTCCGGTACTCCTACTCCCAAGGCGTAGTCCCGAATTCATGGAAGACAGCTTTTGTCCACCCGATCCCTAAAAAAGGCGACCGCTCAGACCCGTCCAACTATAGACCTATCGCGATCACCTCCTTGTTCTCCAAAATAATGGAATCCATTATTAACTGCCAGCTCATCCGGTACCTTGAGGATCACCAGCTGATTAGTGACTGCCAATACGGTTTTCGTCGGGGTCGATCAGCTGGTGATCTTCTGGTCTACCTGACCGATAGATGGGCGCAGGCAGTAGAGTCCAAGGGGGAGGCGTTGGCTGTTAGTCTGGACATTGCGAAGGCCTTCGATCGGGTTTGGCACAAAGCGCTTCTTTCGAAGCTCCCTTCCTATGGGCCTCTCCGAGAAATTGTGCAATTGGATCACCAGCTTCCTTCCAGAGGATGCCTAAACTTTGAAGTGATCAATATCGGAGCATCAAGGTCGTTGTAGACGGTGCATGTTCTGACTACAAGCCTATTAACGCTGGTGTTCCACAAGGCTGCGTGCTATCACCAACGCGGTTTCTTCTACATATCAATGATATGTTGGTAACTGGTAACATTTATTGCTATGCGGATGACAGCACTGGTGATGCTCTATACACCGGCTGTGCCAATATTTTCGGGAAAACGTCGCCGAGTACCGGAACAAACTTGTGTCTGAAGTCGAGTCTTTGATGAACAAAGTCTCGGATTGGGGGTGACTAAATCTAATCCAGTTTAATCCTCAGAAGACACACGTTTGCGCGTTTACCGCTCAAAAGAACCCCTTTGTTGTATCTCCTCAGTTTCAAGGCACTCCCCTTCTTGCCTCAGCCAGTATCGGTATCCTCGGAGTCGACATATCGAGTGATGTGCAGTTTCGTGGTCACTTGGAAGAGAAGGCCAAATTGGCCTCTAAAAAGCTTGGCGTGCTCAGCAGAGCGGGACAGTATTTCATGCCGGCACACCGCCTGCAACTTTACAAGACGCAGGTTCGGCCTCACATGGAATACTGTTCCCATCTCTGGGCAGGGGCTCCCCAGTGCCAGCTCCTTCCACTTGACCGCATCCAGCGCAGAGGTCGAATCGTCGACGACCGAGTTCTTTCCGATCGGCTCGATTCATTGGCACTGCAAAGAGATGTTGCATCCCTTTGCATTTTCTTTCGCATCTACCATGGGGAGTGCTCTGAGGAATTGTTTGGATTAATCCCAGCCGCCAAATTTCATGAACGCACATCGCGGCAGAACTCCCGATACCATCCACACCATCTGATGATCGGCGGTCCACCACTGTGCGATTTAGAAGATGTTTTCTTCCTCGCACGATTTCCTTGTGGAATCGATTACCATCAGCGATTTTTCCGGACCGATACGACTTAGGGACCTTCAAGAAAAGAGCGTACTCCTTTTTAAAAGGCGGGCAACGCATCAGCAATTCCCTCCCTGGTGTTGCAGTTGTTCATGGGCGGCGGTAGTCACTTACCATCAGGTGAGCCGCATGCACGTTTGCCCCCTCTCTTATAAAAAAAAATATTTTATTGTCTGTCTGTCCGTCTGTCTACCCTTTTTCTCAGAAACTAGTAAAATTATAAATTGTAGCTGTATTTAATGATATATAATTATTAATATGATATATCGTGTAACATGTTTTGCCCATTTTTCAGTTATAGCATCGACCGTGATTTTTTTTCCACTGCAAAGTTAAGTTTGTCGTTTAATCTGATTGCCTTTTGGTTAGAGCAAAATTCAGTGCTTCACTTACCTGTGATTCTCGGGATGGATGAACTGTATACATATTGAAGTTTATACGGAATCCTCAGGTTTCTAATCCTACTCGTACTTACCTTGTTCGATTTTCTTACTAAACGAATTAGATACCTTATTAATTAAACCGGGTCATTAACATCACATCATCAGCCAATAAACGAAAATAATGGAATAGTCTCCAACAATATATTGTCAAAAGGCCAATCCCAATCTTGTCACAAATACCAATTACCACATCATTTCCACTAGAGCAAGGATTGTCGCTTCTCGCCCTAACGCGTCGCACCATCTGACAGCATCGGTTGTGGCAGGCCTTGTCCGATTTTCTCATCGTACCCTCGACATGACACGTCACATATTGTCTTGGCTCTGAACGTTGTCCAATTTTTTTAAACCTGATAAATTTTAATTTTGTTAAAAGAACATGAATACGTCAGAAAACCCACTGTACAATATCACCCCATAGGTAAGAGGCGACAGAGAGAAATGAAAAGAGAAATGAGAAAAGGAAATGGTTAGTAGCATATTCTTGATGACTGCAAAAAATAATCAAAACTGCGATGGCCAACCCATTCACATGGAATATCTTATATTCGGCAGTGGACTTATAGAAGTTAATGAATGTATGAAAAATATAAATATAAATTATTAAGTAATGTTCGAACATTTGAATATAACACTTTTTATGTTGACTAAAGCAGGTAGCAAATTTATGTAAATTGATAGTACGCACAGCAAAATTCGGCTGTAGTTAAAACAAACGCACAGCGGCAGCACTAGCATTTTTTAAATACGTTTTACAATAAATAATTCAAAGTTAGTTGTAAAATTGAAGATATGTAATAAATACAAATGTCTAAATAAACACAATGTGTCTAGGTGCAAATTGCACAAACAGTTCACAAACTTCGCTTTGCATACTTGTTAATTTAATTTACATTTTATTAATATTTGTATTTAGCGACCAAGTAGAATTAAGACTTCTTTCGGTACCTAATAAGTATTACTCGCTATGGAACTTCTGTTAAATAATGTCTAAAAAAGTTTTATGCATCATCATCATTATTAACTTTTCTTTGCCAGCATGGAAAATGTATGATAATGAATATAACTTAATTATAAAGAATATAATTTAAAAAAATTATACACCTTTAGAATTCAAAATATTAAATATAAGAAAACTGGAGAACAAAAATTTAAAGAAATATTCATACCTAATAACAAATTTTCTCTTTTCTTTTGCGAGTGTAATAGCAACTTTTTGATTTGCCTCAGGAGAATCAGAAAGAAGTTCGCCATTTGGTCCTAAAAGGCAGCTCTTCGGCATGAGTTGTTCCCTCAGCATTGGATGATCCTCTTCATGAGTAAAGTTGAATATACTCTGACCGATTAAGTCGAGCTGTAACAAATGGTGTATTAAGAATATGTTTCGTTTATTTTAATATATATCTTAATTATATTATATTTATTTAACTAAAATTTATTAATATTTTAGTTCTAATTTATATAATTTAATTTAAATAGCTTAGCGAGATATGGCGATAGATTAGTTTTTAGTTTTTATGCGTGATATATTTCAAAATGAGGATATCCTCAGTAGAACCAGAGTAACACATACATAGCCCAACGGATCAGTACGCTAATGTGGAAATATAATCATAATAATAAACTAATCTTGATGTAAACATGGTTGCATCCAGTACATTGGCTACAATTTGGCGAACTTTTTGCAGAAACTGATGGTTGTGTCTGTGCAATATAAGACGAAGTAATTAAAACGAACAACTACCGGAAATAAATTTTGAGGGACGGAACGGTGTACTGCTGAGTGAATCTCTCTCACTCAGACTTGTAATTACCTGTTATCCACGACTAACAAATTGTGTGTATTTTCACAAACAACCAAGTAGCTAGGATAATATACCAGCAATTTGCCATTAAATTTGATTTTACTCAACAGGACGTTCCATTATATAAGTATAAAGCCAGTCCTTAAAAATAAAAGTGTCATGCTGTACTGGAATTGGTCAATTATTACAGACAGGTTTATAGTAGCAAATAAAACTGACATAGGGTGGTAGATCGCTCTACACGCAAGGCAATTATAGTGGAATTCAGTATTCTTCACGACTAGAATCTCGTGAAAGCATAGAAGGACAAAAAATTAAAATACATAGTCTTGACACATGAAATTGTCGCTATGTGGGACGTTGATTCTACTATTATTGTACCAATAGTTGTATCAATCGATGGATTTATCAGTAAAAATATGGATGATTATCTGTCCAAGTAGGCTTGGGCAAATAGCTGAAGGGATTAATTCAAAAAGCGGCCTTATCTGAAGGGATTAATTCAAATAGCGGCCTTATTAAATACAGCACAGGCCTCTTTTCATTTCTGTTAGGGTTTTTCTGCAAGTGTCCGCCGCGCTGCCCCAATGCGTGTTGGCGAACTTCACATGTCTTTGAAATATTTTTTTCTTATTTCTCAGACATGCAGGTTTCCTCACAATGTTTTCCTTCATCGCCGAACACGTGGTAAATCAGCACTTAAAATTGCAATTAACAATTTCGTTGGTGCTGGTGGGGATCGAACCCGGGTTGCTTGCGCACTGTGAAATTTACAGCGAGCGCTAACCATCTGAGCTACCACGGCTATAATAATATATAATAATAATATTATTTTCATAAATTGTATTTATGTTTTTATTATTATAATTTTGTAACTTTATATGTGATAATAAATGCATAATAATAATCTGTTTATTTCGACCAACAAAGATCATATTACATAATTAGTATAATTAGGTAATAATTTATCGTAACAGTCATAAATTTTAACAATAAAGAAAATTTTATGAAAAATTAAATAAACCATTAAATAAGAATCTCTCAGTAAATACATAGTGGACCTCAGATTATATATTTGTCAGTACATGAACCACATGAAAGAAGATGTAGTGACAAAAATTGAGAAAGGTATGCTGAGATGGTTTAGCCATGTCGAGAGAATGAATAAAGAACGATTGACGAAAAAAGTGTATAAGGCGAGTGTGGATGAAAGTGTTGGAAGGGGTAGACCTAGGTGGACGTTTCTAGACCAAATCAGGGACGTCTTGGAAAAAGGCCAGGTCAAGAGTACCCTAAACCGAAGAGCATGTATGAAGGGAATAATGAAAGTGGACGAAGCGAAACAAGTATATAAGGATCGTAGAAAGTGGAAAGAAGTGGTCTCTGCCTACCCCTACCGGAAAAAGGCGTGTGTATGTATGTATGCATGAACCATAAAACAATGTTTCGAGTACTGACAGTCATCACTAGGATGATGAAGCTGGCACGGATCCTATGGCACCAGGGGTGGACACCGCTTGCGTATGATCGCGTAGAAGCAATCTACTCTCGCTTCAGCGAACATCCCAGATGCACTGCAAAAGCGAGGCAGTCCCACCAGCACTCGTGTATTGAGTGTGCAGGGCGCTGTTAATATTGTAGAGATTAATTAACCCAGAGGTTGCTCGTGTAGAGGGATGTGCAATAAGCTTTAGACAGCGTAACCTTAACTTCAGTTGTGCAACGAGGAAAACTGCGGGCTATCATATTAGTTCTTACTGACAACGATCTACGCTCTCTATCAATATCTATATGGTCCCTCAGAGATTACGAAATTTCTGAAATAATAAAACTGTTCTACTCTCTTCAGAGGGATTAATTCCATTTAACTTAATAGGTGGAACGCTAAGTGGACCTTTGTGTCTGGCCTGAAATATCATAAATTCACTTTTGCTTACATTGTATTTTAGTCCATGACTAGCAGCATATTTCTCACAGTTGCCTAGCAACATACTTACTCGTAGCACAGACAGAGGCACTCAGCAGCACGATATTATCCGCGTAGCTAATATTATTAATACTATTATACAGCCGACACGACTACTGCTGAGCTCCTTTAACAGTACATTAACATACAAGTTAAATAATATAGGTGACTAACCCGTTTGCCTTAGAAAAAGCATTCGACCATCGTACGACATTGACCTAGATTGAACACAAATATTAAAGTTGGTAAAAAATTACTTCGCGTATATCCGCTCGATAAAATAAAATGATGTGCCTTACCTAGTTTGAAGAGCACCTCCCGCCCTCCCTTAATTGCGTGCACTATCACCGTCACCACTAATCCTAGCACCACTACTCCCAACAACACTACACTTGGAAAGACACATCACTGACTGGTGATCTAGACTCTGCAGTGACGGTGACGTGCACGCAATTGAGGGAGGGCGGGAGGTGCTCTACAAACTAGGTAAGACACATCATTTTATTTTATCGAGCGGATGTACGCAAAGTATTTTTTTACCAACTTTAATATAATGGACTTCCGCAAAGTAACGCCTGATTCTATTAATTATGAACACAAATATTTAAAGATATTATTTAATTCAGCGGGCCCCTTGATACCATCCAATTTCTGCTACTAAATGTCGTAGCTGACAAAGTCAAATGCTTTCGACAAATTGAGGAACCAGGCATAGATTTGTCGGTCTGTATATTACTTAAAAGTCTACTTTAAGCACAAGGTAGCTGCATCTGTGGAAAGACCTGGTCTGAAACCAACCTGGGTATCGTGTAGCTTCAGATATTTCTCTAATAAAGAATCAAGCAGACCATCAAGCACTATGGCAAAAATCGCGGCCAGTTGAAATAGGTCTATAGTTACTTTTGTCACTTAAATTACCGTTTTTTTTTTTTCACTATTGACACCACCACAGTTTTGGTCATTTCAGTGGGCAAGTACGAATGTATACATAACATAGGGTGTAAAACATGCTTTCGTCAGGTGAGGCTCGGAGTATCGTAGGTGCTCGATGCTGAGACCATCGTGGTGTGGCAATGGGCCATCCATACACCATGACAAACTGACAACCGCCGGGAAGAAAAGGTTCTCAAGTGGCAGCCTAGTACCGGTAAGTGAAATAGATAGGCTCTAGATGGCGTGACAACCTAGTAAGAGATGCAGGAAGTTGATGGATGCAGGTGGCTCAAAACCTTGTTTTGTGGCGTTCCTTGGCCTTTGTTCAGTAGTGGACTTGTGACAGTCTGTAATGTTGATGATGACGATGATTTTATCATTGGTTGGACAACGATTGATTCAGATAGTGAATCAGTCCAAAAACAAGTTTTCAACTTGGCGGCCATTTGTTTAGTTTTACAACGAATTCATATTCACTTGGACTCTTAGGGTTCCGTAGCCAAATGGCAAAAAAGGGAACCCTTGTGGATTCGTCATGTCTGTCTGTCTGTCCGTCCGTGTGTCACAGCCACTTTTTTCAGAAACTATAAGAACTATGCTGTTGAAACTTGGTAGATGTATTCTGTGAACCGCATTAAGATTTTTACACAAAAATAGAAAAAAAAGCAACAAATTTTGAGGGTTCCCCATACCTAAAACTGAAACATAAATTTTTTTTTCATCAAAACGAAGGTATCATGGATAGGTCTTCAAAAATGATATTGAGGTTTCTAATATAATTTTTTTCTAAACTGAATAGTTTGCGCGAGAGACACTTCCAAAGTGGTAAAATGTAACCCCCTGTAACTTCTAAAATAAGAGAATGATAAAACAAAAAAAATATATGATATACATTATCATGTAAACTTCTACCGAAAATTTGTTTTAACGAGATCTAGTAAGTTGTTTTTTTTTAATACGTCATAAATCGTAAACCGCGATTTACCTTTCCTTAAATCAACTCAAATATAAAAATAAAAAAATACACTATTATTAAAACATCGATCAAAGTTACAACGAACTACAAGAACTTTTATATTATGTTACTTGCTGCTACGGAGCCCTACATGGGCGAGTCCGACTCGCACTTGGCCGCTTTTTTATAGAATTACAGTGACACAAGAACACATTCACTGCCTACCTGATGTTGCAGATGTAGTGACACATAAACATTTACATTTTTCCTTGATCTAATGGAGAAATGATCTAATGAGAATCTAATTGGAAATGCGCTGTCACAGCTGAGAATTAAGATAGGATTCATCGTTTCCATTAAAAAGATTCTCCGGTTCTCTACACTTAGTATAGGAAACACGGCAGCATTAAGCTGCTATTTTACGCTGATTATCTGTGAAAGCCAAGTTCTTTCCCGGTCGAGCTAACCAATTCGTGTTACAACGATATCAGGAAATCTAACAAGAGTTTGTAAAATAGCGGCCACTTTTTCCGTTTTCATGCTGGGTTTATATTCACAGACCTCATGGACTCCCTAAATAGATTATAAAAGTAATCGGTGCAGAAAAGAACAATTTGAGAATGACGACAACTTCAATTGAATTTCAACAATAATTTAACAAAATCTGATCAAGATATTGCAACACATTCAAATTCTGACTTTATATTTATTGAATTCTTCCCCTATAGTAGCCGAGTGATTACTCAAACAAAATGTAAAGTCTTGTACAAAAGAATTTGAAATTCATGAATGATTACCGGGAGATATGGTTAAATATTACAAGGCCACTAATATTTTAAAAAACGCAGATCAACGTTGGATTTTCATATATGTAAGTTATTGCGTCTATACTACTATAGACGCGATTCTCTAGCTAGGTATCTATATACAATCGCGCCCCAAAGTAGGGAATATCTTTATTCTCGGGTTAGTTAATCTTAGACAACGACGTCGTTGGTGAAATCAGCACTTAATAGTACAAGCACCATTATTTATGCTGCTATTTGACGTTAGTATTGTGTGGTATCCTGGCTAAGTGGCGCCTTGAAAAGGCACCATATCCAGCAGATGACTTCTACTGGCTGGTGATGATGATGATGATTCTGTGAAGCGTGACCCCTCGCTAGCTCTTCGCAATCTAACCATTAGTGCTACAGCTATTATACAGATGCAGCGTTACTTTTCTTGTTAATTTTTTTTAATCTTCGCAAAAAATCGTATTTTGCAATTACAGATTACTTAATTTTATTTAATATTGATTACAGGTAAAAAATATTATAAACTATACTTTTTCATACCGTTTCAATTGCGTAGTCTAGTTGTCGACTATTAGTCAAAGTTTGGCAAATCACGCGTCGAATTAGTGTTTAAATGTAAATTATTTGCGTAGCTATTACGGGTCTGAATGTTTGACAATGTGGAATTTAATGTGTAAAACGTCTCCATGTCTCAAGAAAATGTCATTATGTAAGTGTAAACGTTTTTATTTTATATGTAGTTTATGGCATTCATAAGAATTTGGAATGAGTTAACATTTGCTACAATACTGAGATATTTTTGATCGGAGGGGAATAGCCATACGTAGGCGTTTCCTTCTGTTAAAGTGTAAATCCATGCGGTCCTTTGCTGTACGCATAGGACCGCGTGGATTATAAAACACGTTGCGGTCGCACTTCTCACTGGAATAAATTTGTGAAATAGCGTTGCTGCAAAAAACGACCTGCCACGTCAAATTTACAAAAAGATGGCGTTAACTTTCATATACAAGGAATTTTTTATCACATTGTTGCTATTTATTTCATTTTAAACTTAAAAATTACATTAATAACAGTCATGTTAATTCAGATTTGTTTACCAACAAAGGCATCACTCAATATGCAAATCGGCCACGCGAATGGTCCGACTTATAAATTATGATGTAACTATATGTAAGTGAAATTGTTAGATTATTGTTTTAATTTTTATGTGTGAGTTTCGTAGTGATAGACGACTGTTTTGAATACGCTGATTTACCCTCCGCAATTAATGACACACAGTTCTGTGTCGGGGGAAAAAGCTACGACTACTCCCCTCCAGTCTGCCGGTGGCCCGTGTTGCTCTATGTGCATAAATATAAAGATTAAAGTAAGATAAGGTCGCTTCCGATTTGGCAGAAAGGCCATACAGGCCAAAGCTAGTCCCACAGTAGCTAGCTAGTTCATAGTGAGTAACACATAAGCCGGCTGCGTGGTATGCTACGAGCATTTTCCACCTCCCTTCCCCGCTTCCCGGAGAGTAGCGATTCTTTGGGCGCAAAAAAAATCTTTAGAAGATCCCTTTACCCACAGGTGTATGGCCACAGGTTTACGAAGAAGCTATTAATTGTCGCCATAGTAAGCTAGTTTATAGTATTGCAATAATTATTGGCTTCATTTTTTTTTGTTCATAATATTGCTATTATGTTAAATGCAAAGCGAAAGGTAGTTTTTTTTAAATATCGTCGAAACGTTTGAAATTTTCTTTTTTATTTGTGCTCATGTTTTTTTTTTATAAGACATTGTGACAAACGAGCACACAGTCCACCTGATAGTAAGTGGCTGCTGTGGCCCATAGACATCTTCATCTATCCTCGTTTGCGAATCAAAATGCAGATGCGTTGTCCACCCGTGAGGACTAAGATGGAATGCCTCTTTTCCAGTAAAAAGGGTCTCCAGTTCTCTACACTCACCATACGAAACACAGCAGCATTAAGCTGCTATTTAACGCTGGTATTCTGTGAGAGCGTGGTCCTTTCCCGATCGAGCCAACCCATTCGCGCTACAACTAATATAGCTGCAGCATGGCTCTACCACGTTTGAAAAGTAGGTAATCTTCTATAATACGAGTATAAAAATGAATCGCTGAATGTATTGCTAAGCGTAAATTTGAACAGCAGTTGAACCGATTTCGCTAATTCCTTTTTTATAATATTCCTTAAAGTACGAAGATGATTGTTACGGAGAGAAATATTTAAAAAAATGCCTGAAAAAGTCTAAAAACAACACGTCTATATTCCCATACAAAAGATTCGTAATAATGCTTAAAATAAATATAAACTTAAATGCCATAACATAAAGTTTAAGTGTTAGTGGATGGGTTCCGGGAAGGCATAACAATTGAGTGACGTTAGTATCGTATAAATATTAATGTAATTTTTGGTCAATAGTGTTTTAAAATTTTAATTTAAAAAAAATGTAATTGTTGACTTATCAACTTTCTTTTTTCTTTTATTATCTTACTAGCTGACCCGGTGTCCCGAATAGCAGAAGAAGTATTAAAAAAAAATTAAGAATCGACTGTAAGGCGGTACGAAGTTCGCCGGGTCAGCTAATAATATAAATTTTTTTGTACGACAGCGATTTCAACCAAGTCCAACGTATCCAGCAATGATCTACTTCCTTTGTGTATATGTTGTTCAATGAGAATACTTTTCCGTCTAATTCTTTCTACTTGTTTTATAAAACAAACGATACCTAGTTGTAGCAACTACAGACTTAGGATGTTTCTGTGAATGCATCAATATTGAAATGACACAAAATTATTAAAAACGGGACATTAGATAAATATGTTTTGGCATTTTTTTATTACAATAGCTTAAAAATGGAAACAAAAACTCAACCAAGCAAGCAACCTACACGTCTGCACTTTGGACTTTTAAAACAAGTCATAAATACCATAAGAATACTTAACCAAATCGTTATAGCCAATCAGTAGCATAAAGAAGAGGTCTTATCAATGCTTAACCATATATTTAAGCCAAATTATTTCAGTTTCGGAGTGTGCGTGGTGTTTTTCAAGTTTCAAATTCAAAGTTTTCATTAAAATGTAATTCTATTAAATAATTATTTGGAAGCAAATTCATCTTTAAGCTTTTAAAATTTTCTCGATGCAACATTTTCAATTATAAAATTATACTATCTTGTATAATAACTTAGCTGTTAAGTTAGCTGTTAACTCAAAGGTAGCTGATAGCTCAAACTAAATTTAAACATATAATTTCAATTTCATTCTTGGCGGCTTTTATTTCACATGTAAAAACGTTAATTTCATATGCTTTATTGTACGTAGGCTAAAAAGAATGTAGTTGAATGCTAGCGTACGTCCCACTGACGTGTAATGTTTCATACGTGGTAGAATAGGTCGGTTAGACCAGAGAAGGACCACGTTCTCAAAGCATAACAACGTAAAATAGCAGCTTAATGCTGCGTGTGTTTCGTATGGTGAGTGTAGAGAAGTAAAGACTCTCGGCATGTTATATATTATATAAATGTTACTTGTATGGGCTCTGTCTGAAATAAATTTATTTTGTTTTATTTTATTTTATTTATTATTTCATAGTAGTCCTCAGGGATAACAACGTATCTGTATTTTGAGTCTTAATCGAGAATAGACGTAGGAATGTCTAAGGGTCACAGCATCCACTTACCCTTAGGTGAACTGTGTGATTGTTTGTCACTCTTATTATATTAAAAAATAGGTTATCCATAAAATTATTAAAAACATAATAACCATTGTCTATTATAAACCTTATTTTACGATATACAGATAAACCTTACATATGTATATTAAGAATTATTCTCAGATCAATTTACTTGAACTACGCACTAAAATTATATACATTTCGACGTCGCCAGCGTATTGGAGCAAGAGGGTTAGACTTTATGTCGGATGCGGAAGCGTTAGCTTCTGAATTGCCAGTTATTCTCTATGGGCATAAACTAAAACGTCACAAGACTATTGAAAATTTCAGAAAGTTTATGAAAATTTATAAGTCGATCTATTTTATAATATGTATCTACATTTTAATACTCAGCATGTTATAAGCCTTTACTTGAAATTTGCGTTTTAAGAATTCTGATGGCATACGTAAATCTCGTTATGTAAAATCATTCTTTTCCGACTAAGCCTCCGCTCTTTTGAAACTATCTCAGTTACTCGTATGACGTAAAAATAAACCGTAACACTATGTGTATTAGATAAGTATATTACTCACCTCAGAATATCCGAGATACTGTTGAACATTTTGTGAGACAACCACCACCAAGCCTTTGTATGTAGTGGTAAGGATGAACCCCTTCAGATGTCCTAGGAGTGCTCGAACAGAGTTCCCTTTGAACTGTTGCTCTGAGTTGATTGTGTCACCAAACACTGTAAAAGATACATCAAGATTAGGAGCAGTGCAAAGGGTGGAACGTAATGTACTACCTTTTTGTTCCGGGGGTTATGTAACATGTACAAACTTGTTGACACCATATATGTTATATCCAGACCGGCGACGGACAGCAGCGTCGAATGTGCAAGACGTCTGATGCTGCGCTCGTCAGCTCTGATAAGTGTGACGATAAAGAATACTTCCTTCAATGGGGGGGGGGGGCTACTCCATCATATCTCTATATAGATCAACAAATTCAATATAGATTACAAAAATACTTATTGAAAGTCTTTTAAGTTTCACCACTTGTTCGGAAATAAACATCTGTCCTTCTCTTTCTCCGGATTCCTTCAGACCTAAGTTCAAAATTAATCTTATAACTATCTTCTGCAAAACAAAGATAGTTTCAATGTAAGTCGCATTACCCCATAGCGAGATTCCATATGACATTATGTTATCGAAATCATCATCATCATCATCATTAGGTACAGCCTTTCATAAGTCCACTGCTGAACATAGGCCTCCCCCAAGGAATGCCACAAAGCACGGTCCTGGGCCACCTGCATCCATCGGTTTCCTGCATATCTTACTAGGTCGTCACTCCATCTAGTGGGGGTTCGCCCTACACTTCGCCTACCGGTACAAAGATGCCACTCGAGAACCTTTCTTCCCCATCGGTTGTCGGTTATTCGAGCTATATGGCCGGCCCACTGCCACTTCAGCTTACTAATCCGTTGGGCTATGTCGGTTACTCTGGTTCTACTGCGGATATCCTCATTTCTAAGCTTATCACGCATAGAAACCCCGAGCATAGCCCTCTCCATAGCTCGCTGAGCGACATTGAGCTTCCTCATACGGCGATCTCAGATCCGTAAGTCATCACTGGCAACACGCACTGGTTGTACAATTTCGTTTTCAGATTTTGAGGTATGTCTAGCGAGAAGATGTGTCATAGTTTCCCGAACGCAGCCCAGCCGAGTTGAATACAGGCTTTCTCATAGTCCACATACGCAAGGCAAAATGGCAGATTATATATATACTTATTAAATATACTTATTATATATACTTCTCTGTCTTCTGTACAATCTGCCGCAGGGTATATATGTGGTCTATGGTACTAAAGCCTTTTCGAAAACCGGCTTGTTCGGGAGACTGGAAGTCGTCAAGTCTGCGTGCGAGACGATTCTTAATGACTCTCAAAAACAGCACGTAGACGCGGCTCGGAAGGGAAATCGGTCTGTAGTTCTTCAAGAGAGCGTTGTCGCCTTCCTTGAAGAACAAACCCACCACACTTCTGCTCCACGCCTCTGGAGTAGTGCCGCCATGGCGGACGGAATTAAAGAGCTTCTGAAGGACTTCAAGTACCAGTTTTCCACCCGCTTTCAAAAGTTCCGCTGTAATTCCATCCTCGCCCGGGGACTGTTATAATTTGCACCCCGGATGGGAGAGAAGTATCGACCGGAGAGAACACCTGCGCTTCGTTTAGAAAGAGTAAGGTCGACTTCGCCGTCTTCAGATGGAACCTAGTGGACTCCGATAACGTTCTAATGAAATCCCCTGATGTTGCAGAAATTCACGGATAGCGTAGAAGGGTCACCTTTGTCTTATTGCTCTACTTGCCATGAGCAGTATTAGTCTTGAGCGGAACTTCGTCCCCCAAAGAAGATACGCGAGGCAGCTTGAGCACTTGAGAGCTTGGGCGTAGATGCTCAGCCAGGGATTCTCGAATACCAGGACTGCTGGTACCCTCCTGGGATGGTTTCTTATTTAATTACACTACCATGTTAAGAGGGAAAGGGCTTAGGCCTTAGACCACCTGCACTTAACAGGCTAAGTAAACTTCTACTTATCGTTAGTTATCTGTAAGGTCGTGGGTCCCCTCGGCTCGAGCCGGTCCACCCATTCATTACAGCTCCTCATTTCATGTCTTACCACGTCATCACTCCATCTAGTCTGGCCCACCCGTGCGACAGCAAAAATTGCCGTGTGACTCTTCCACTGTTAAGTTGTCTGCCTATATTATTAACTGTAATCTACTTCGTCATTTATTATGCGTTACACATAATACTTAGTAGTAAGTAAGTAGCTTTGCTTTATTATGCCCTGCAGTGGGCGACAAAAAGCTGATGATGAAGTAGTTTTATACCTTTAAAGTATTTAGGTTAGTTTAAATAAATTCTCATCCATAATTCAATAATTCATCAATAATTCCCTATTTCATTTTTGCGCCGGGGCCCTTGGTTACATAGCTACGCCACTGCTCAAAACGTTAGTAAATGATAAGCAATTCGTCAGATAAAGTATGCACTACAGATGCACTATGCAAGATTAACTGACATACAATAAATAAAATGAATATGGTAGAGGAGGACGGTGGTTGCCACGTTCGTTATAGTCGTGAACTTGTGCTGCTTGTGGAGGCTGGTTATGCGCGGGTTCACAATGTAAAGATGAGCAACAAATTTTTAAGTAACTTTTGAGTGCATCATATAACGTGTTTCAGTCAACGATGGGTTTGTTATATTCAATTATGTATATTACTTATACAATATTTTTATGATATTAACTTTAAAAATTACATAACAACAATTCCAAAAAAGCGGATACCTCATTTCGAAACAGTAGATGAAAAAAATTACGTTTGATAAATTAAACTTTATCAAAGAAATTCATTTCACTACACAATAAATTAATATTTACAAAGTTGCTTGCAAAATAATAAGTCTAGTAGCGCTAATCCTACAGAAAGTTACTTTTAACCGGCAAAACTCGATTACCCGTTTTTCTAGAAAAGCATTCTTGCAACATAAAAATATACAAACAATGACGTAAAATTTATGATTTTTCAAACGAGTACAAAAAAGAGAAGTTTTCAACTCGTATGCTTTTTATGTACGTTTAGCGATTGTTCAGAAACGGTTGAACCAATTTGAGTGGTCCTTTTATTAAATAGTGTTAAATACAAGACTTTTTTACTTCAGGGGCGACCTTTTATAAATTTAAAGAAAACTTCAATCCGTGAGGGTGGAAAAAATAGGATTTTTTTTATAGAATGAGGGTGACAAACGATCATACAGTCCATCTGATGGTAAGCGATTGCTGTGGCCCATAGACATCTACATTTATCCTCGATTAAGAACCAAAATGAAGATGCGTTGTCATCGCTGAGGACTAAGATGAAGTGCCTCGTTTCCAGTAAAACGGGTCTGCGGTTCTCTACACTCACCGTACGAAATACAGCAGCATTAAGCTGCTATTTATCGCTGTTATTCTGTGAGAGTGTGGTCCGATCCCGGTCGAGTCGACCCATTCGTGCTACAACCAAAATATAGCTGCAGCATGACTCTACCACATAATGATGAAAATTTTATTGTAAATATTCAGAAGAAGATTTAGGAATTACCTTGAAAGTTTCAAAAGAGAATATATAACTTTAAAAGAAAATAAAAAGCCCATTTCAAAGAAATAAAAAATATAATTTCACATTCTGTCGTCCGACTTGTAATTGTTTTAATATTACACTATGTCTTAGCGGCAACTTTAGAATGTGAAATCAGTTTTTAATTTTCATTTACAATTATTTTTTAAGCAAGCTCCGACTTTCTTTTGCCTTCTATTATTGTCTTACAATTGAGTATATACTCTAAAATAAATGTATTATAATCTCACAGTAAATAATCTACACGCGAAGATTTGTGTACTTGCCACGAAAGGTACCACGCACAAAATTATTATAGACGTAGGTGCCGTAAAAGTTTCAGCAAAAGATTTATGTATATCGACAGATGATAAACACTCTCATTAGACTCGTCGGCATCGATTAATGTGCCAATTTAGTACTATTATATATGTGTGTACAATTTAATGAGTAAACAGAAAGATATCTTCTACTCAAAAAAAATTTCATATCAAAAAAATACATATCTTTTTAAAAATGAAATTATTTACATATATTACCCGCTTAGCTCAATTAAGCTTAAGAATGTTTCGTATGGTAACTGCTTAAGATAACAATCTCCTGCTACCTTTTGCTCTCGGCTTCGCCCACATGAAAACATAAGCTTATTATTAGGTTTTTACCAATGAAATAGCCGTTTATTGTGAAATAAGTAAACGTAATTTCTTTTCTATATTTTTTATTTCTATTAATTAAATTAATCACCCATGCAATCGATATACATCTTTGCCAACGCAGATGAAGTTTATTGATGCCCTTCTTGAGAAATCAGCTGGATTAAGGAGGCAAAAAATTGCTCAAAGTTATTTTGTACTGCCTCTCGGGTATTGAATTTTTTCCGGCCAAAAAGTTATCCAAATTCTCGAAAAAAGTAGAAGTCTGTAGGCGCAAGGTCTGGCGAGTACAACGGATGACGGAGAGCTTCCAACCCCGGACAACCCGATTCCAATGATCGTAGAATAAACGTATCTATGAAAGTTTTAAAAATATCCTAAATGTTATTCCAGTTACGTCAAAATTCATACAGTAGTTTCAAAGACCTACTGTGTTCTACTACATCGATAATGAAATATAAAGCAATAAAAATTTTCAAAATACCTTCAACGTACAAATTTGGCTCGGGAACAGTTTTAAAATAGTTCGGAAAATCCAAAAGTTCACGTTTCATGAACGTTTCATCTAGTGTTGATGAAAAAATATTTTACCAAAATAAATCGATTACACTAAGTATAAAGTCAATGTAGGCTGTATGGAAACATTATTTTATTAACAGAAGACGCGTATTAGGCTATTGATATGAAATAGGGAACCATTTAATGCAATTCTGAAGCTAATTAAAAAAAAAACCCGGTCTCGATGTGAACTTTTTCGAGAGTTATCGTGACAACATACAAAATCAACAACCGGACGTCCACGTAAAAATTTTTTCAAACCGTTTTTTATCAAAGTAACAATATAAAATGAGTTTTTAGAAAATAGATGAATTAACTATAGTGTTTTCTTAATATACGGCTGCTCATATTATCGTATAAATGCAAT